GAGCGGCGAAATCACTAACACGCTCGCAGTCGGGTTGGAGGCAGAAAGCTTTGCCAAACAAAACACTGGATAAATTTAAATCTTTCCAAAGCCTGTTGACAGATTCGTAAGAACATCACGGCTTGCGAAGTGCAATTCCAACGCTTCAATTTTCTCTGGTACCGCTTCGATTTGCTCCGGTTCCAAAACATTCCTGGAAGACATCACAGGTATCTCAAATGTTGACAACACGTTGTCAATGCTCTTAACATAAGCCAATCATATTTTTGCGTTGTGAGAGCAATGCATAATTCAAACTCTTGGGCTTAGGCGGTAGTCCCTCCTTTCGCGCGCTCCTTGCCTCCAGGATTTCGCGCGGCCATTTTTTTTCTCGCGGTTTTCTTTCGCGTCTCGCACAACGGACTAAGCGAAAGAGGGACTACTCGTAGTCTATGTTTGCCCTGACAGGCAAACTATGGATGATCTGTCTGTTTGCCCGTATTTATGTACAGATGAATATTTATCAGACAAACTCCTATTCTAAAGTTTCCCAAGTTCCTCTTAGACAGATGCTCCATCTTTAGTAATTTGGCCAACTGTCTGAGACAATGAGAACAATGCTACATGACTTGTACATGTAGTTGAAGAAAACTTCTAATACAACTACATGTAGTTCCCACTCTTTGCTAAATAAGACAAAAGGAAGGCAACGCACTTCACATGAAAGTTCGCTAATATTAATTACCTGATAAACAGGGGAATTCATCTGATTTGTAGATTTTGTGACAGCCATTACTTTAGCTTTCTCCCAGGTCCAGTACAACAAGGTCCAGTCAGGCCTTCCACCTTGAGACACAAGATATTTTGAATCCGGCGAGAATGCCAAGCTCACAAATTCGGTGGACTGCACCTCCGCAGAGCTAAGCACTTTTTTCTTTCTCAGCGTGTTAAGATCGTAAATGGTTATGGTGGCTTTTTCTCCTTTCTCCGCGATAGCGACATATCTTCGATTCGGACTGACAGCCAACGCAGTCATTCCAGCGCTTTTGTCAGTCCCGGGAATAAATCTTTGCGATTTCTGATCGATGTTGAATAAAATGCAGTTCGATCCAGATGGATAAATGATCGTCTGCTCATCCAGATAACAAATATTGTCAGCGACATCAGCCTTCAGGCCGAAGCAATGTCTCGGAGTCGCTACAGCAATCGACATCTCGATGGAAGGAGTGATTTACAAAATTTAAGCGTTATGAATGCGGATTGGACGTTGGAAACACCTTCTGGGCAGTTCAAGTCCTTTTTCAACGCTTCACAAGTGAGTCAGTACCTAGAATGTCACTAAAAACAACACGATTTTGCGGTAAACAGGTTATCGCTGTCTTGTACAGAAGACATGGTTGCCTCTGATTTGTTTCGTTGCCAAGGACATCGCTCAAAAGGCGCGGTTACCAAGTCTTATCATGTGATACCGCTGGTCAAGAACCTAGAACGCGGGCCAAGAACGAAAGATAGAGGAAGTATCACGCGAAGTTCAAACTATGATAAACATGGCGTATTTGAACTATGTGTAAACATTAGTTTACATTGAAGAATGACAAATAATTCATCATTTTATTTTTCTGCTCTGCCTTGAATCAATTTAGCTGGGCCATCAAATATTAGTGGAAAAGAGGTCGTTGCTAACTTCCTCACTGCAACAAAAAACACCAAAATAACATATATTCTTTTTGTTCTTGAAGTTGGAATTTGTTTACTTTAAGATAACCAAAGAGACTATGTTTCGTAAGTGTTAAAAGTAATTAACATATCATATGGCGGGTTATGGCGGGCGTGTGAATGTACGTGCCCGAACGGTTTTATTCACCCTTTGTTCAATCATATCAATTTCCGTCGAATGCAGCGCAACACAGCTGGCCCGGGTTGTTCGAAAGGCGGATAACGCTTTCCACCGAATAAATCACTATCCAGTGTATAGCGCGGTTTGTTTTGTAGTTATTCACTGGATAGCGATTTATCAGGTGGATTGCGTTATCCAGCCTTAGAACAACCGGGGCCTGAATTACAAATTAAAAAATCGCCACAGTGCGAGGTGTCACCAAGTGATGACAAAGTCGCTATATAATCCAGCTTAGGCCAACCATACTCCTTCTTTTATTTGTTTGTTTGCTTGTTATGTTCTGGGGATTTTAAATTATTATTTTCTGCTAGGTCAGATACGAGATACGACCTAAATTAAAGCACTCTATCAAATGACGTTCTCGATCATGAAGCCCTATGTTTTCAGAGAGAAAATTAAAATTCCTTCATCCCAAAGAAAAAGTGCAAATGGTTTCCGGCATACAATCAGTGCATGATTATATTATCGCGTGACCCTTTCTAGTGACAGATTCGCTCTATGTTATTTCCCTGACGAGGCGTATAAATTTCTGAAATCTTAACACGTTTAAACGTCCGAAGGTTCAGCCTTTCACAGCCACTGACGGGTTCATCAATCGACTTCGTCGCACAGAGCTGAAAATGAGTTTGAAATTTTCCATCGCTTGCGGTCTGTTCCAGTTGTTGCTCGTGATTCTGTTTTCCGTCCTGACCAATTATGGTGACCATGCTTCTCCACCACACAAACGCAAGGGAGCCACAGACACCTCTGCCAATGTCTCTGAAACGCTGCCCGTGAACGATGTCAGCATTTATTATCCAAGTAAGAGCTAGGGATGTTAAGTTTAATTTCTTGCAGTACTTGAGATATAAAGCGCTGCTGCGAGATTTTAGCTCAATTTTATGTAACCATCTGAAATGTTGTAGACTACAGCTGTATGTGCGTCTCCTCACGGGACATGAGATGGGTGGTGGAAGGAGAGAATAAGAAGGCAGAAGGGAGAAAATACTTCTAAATTGGCTCTTTGGGTTTTCTTGCGGCTTTTTGAAGAGTTTATGCCATAACAGCGGCGTAAGCGTCAGGTTTTGACCTAAAAAATAGGTGGCCGGGGGCAAAGCTGGGTACAGCTGGCCCAGCCCACCACGATAAAAACAGACTTGACCTTTTCGTCTTCTTTTCTCCTTGACGAATAACGAGGTAGTTTTACAGCCTCGGCCAGTTTGCTCGCGACTTTCCAAGCCTGTACAAGGGAATTGACAAAAATTAATAATAAGACAGACAACTTCAGGGCCGGCCAACGCCCAGTTTTTATCTTGGAAGAATAGAAGCGGAGGTAATCATGCGATCACAGGATTCCTCTTCTATATTGCGCACATAAAATCTACTATATATATATATATCTTAAGCCGCTGTTTTTATCAAGAGCTTCCCAATTTGAAAAAAAGGTCAATGGTTTGTACGTGAGGTTATGTGTGTCAGAAACTTATTATGAGTGGTGTAAGGTTGCGAACATGGCAGCTTATATTAATTACACCAAACCCCCACACGTAGGAATAAAAATATAGGTTGAGGTTGAGGTTGAGCTCGGGCAACAACTTTGCCTAGTCAAAGCCACTAAACTCCGTGAGTTCCGTTAAGTCATTTTGTTGGAAATTCAAACGAAGAACAAAAACAAACAAAAAGTAAATAATGAGAAGCCTGGAAATGTTTTCATTTCTATTTTCTGTTGGCAATCCTGTCTTGAAACTTATCCTCCTCAGTTTGTAACAATCCTCGTTTATTTTCGGTTTATTAAGACTTTTTTGGAAGTTTTACCGCTTGGTGAACTATTATTAGAAGTTTTGTTCACTTTGAACGAAATGTTGTACATAAAAAAGAATAGCTTATGATGTCGTGACATGACTCCTTTAAAAATGCAAGTTGTTTTCAATGTGAAAAACATGGGATTATCGCGACTTGATTTCCGGAAATGGTCCTGCTACTTGCCGCAGCTAATCGCTTAGGGCCTATTGACAGATGCACGTAAAGGAATGCACGTCAATGAGCGGTATACTCAGACAATAAATTTAATATCCCAGCTGACCAATTGTTGGTATCTTGCCGCCTCCAGCTGCACTATAAGACACCCGAATGACACATATGCTACTTCTCCGATTAGCAGAGACACTCCAAAGGAAATCCCAGGGATTTTGGGAAACAAGGGAACATGGTCACTTTGAACTGAGGAACAAGGGAACAATACAGAATATCTAATTAAGGAAGCAAGGGAGCATAATCATATTACATAAAAGGGGATAACCGGAACAAAACATAATCTCGTTCCCAGGTCCCTCTCTTGTCCTCTCTCGAGGGAGAAAGAGAGAGGAACTTGGTAACGAGACGTTCGCAGTTATTATCGTTAATTCTTTTCGCAGGTGACAAATAGTTTTTTCGTTGTCAGACAAACAAAAAAAATTCTCAATGACGAAGGGAAAGCCATGTGCTTAACATTTCGCTTACATCAAGACCCGCCAAGACAACTGAGTGATTCGGTACACAAAATAGGATAAATTCTAACCTGTGAGAAGGGGTTCATGGAAACTGACCAAGCAGAGGTTACAAATATAGACCGCGTGCTGTCTGTTTTCTCATAAGCATTGGGAAGCCCTAGCTACGGTAAAAGGGTTTTCCGATAAGAAGCGATTGAAATAAGACGAAGATGAGAAGGGATCTCAGAACATCCTGCCTTTTTTGCGTTGCGTCCGCGAAAAAATAATGCTCGTCGAAAACCTAACAGGACAGGCTGACTGCAAGAAGTGGCTTGTGCATTTTGCTTGTGCGTATTTTATTAAGTCATGTTTGTCTTTCCAAATTACACTCAAAATCAGGTGATTTCCTATCCAAATTACACTCACATTACGGGTCCTACAGGCCCATGCAATTTTGTAAACTTTCAATGGAATTGACTCGAGTTTATTATTATTTTTAAATTCTAAATTACACTTGAAATCATATGATTACCTGTACTAATCATAACGAATTATACAGCAGATTTTGCAAAAAATTGCTCTTTTGGAATCCAGGGGTAACTGGCTCATCGAATTAATACTAATTCATCTAATGCAAGGACTGTTTAGTTGGCAAAAACTTAAAAGATAATTTATCTTTTGACCGGCGACAGTCCCTACCCGGGCTGCCATCATAATGCCACATAACACAAAGGCTTGGGAGGGGGCTGCAACCCCCCTCCCCCCCCCCCGCCTTAGTTTTGAGCAGCATCTTTTTGGTTGTTTGGTTGACTCGTCATAAAAATAATAGAATTGAAATTTTTAAAACGTAGATGTTTCACTCCCACCTGATTGGCTGTTTGTCAAGTTAGGAACTGAAATAATGTACGTTACGCGACTAGGTATACAGATTTTATATCATTTCTTCCACTCCCAAACGCTGAGGTAGGTGTGTAACATGACACTGGTATTTTTCTTGAGATTCAACAATTTCATCTTTAAAATTAAAAAGTCAGTTAGTGTAGCATGTAAATACGTAAACAATCAAAATATTCCCATAAAACAGAAACCAAACAGAAACAGAGACCAGCGCATGGTATGGATCAAGTTTGGTGACCTTTCCCAATGAAAAGTGGGGTTTTGTGTGTACCGTTCGGCAGTTTTTGATTAACAGGCCGTTGTTGATAGGTTATTTTGGCAGTTGGGACGCGCTTAAGTGACCGTTGCCATTGTGAAGAGGTGGCCGTTGTAGAGAGGTTAAAATAAAAGTGAATGTATAGCTCGTTCACCGGGAAAAAAAAGGGGGCCGTTGTAGAGAGGTGGCTGTTAGTAGATGTTCGACTGAGACCCTTTCACTCGGAAACTCGCATGCCGGGTTGTTACTTGTAGACAAACAGGAAGAAAGTGTTCTATTCCGAAAGGCTGACTCTTGTTTTTCAACGGCCTGTTTCCCGAAATGTTATACCTCGATGTTCAAAGTTCATATTGCGTGGTCTGATGTGAAAGTTCTGTGATTGGACCAAAAGTCCAGTTATGTAATCAATTTACTTAACTTGATACAATATTGCAAAAGTTAGGCCCCATCCCACACCACACGGGAGAAAGTTGAAAACGCAGCTTTATTTCTAAAGTTAGTCCTACCGTCTACACTAATCCGTTATGAAAACGGAGCTTTTCGTAAACGCTGCTTGAACCGGGGGAATTTGAAATCGCCGGCTTTGCGTTTTAATGTGGACGAGTTTTCCTAAAACACAAATCCAAAATGACCGGTGATTGTTACGTTGTAAACTTCGGCGTCGTATGGAAAGAACACATTTGATACGTTTTCAGAATGAAAACGCCGTTTACAAATTTCTCCAGCGCAGCAGTCGCCCATTTTCCTCAAGCAAGAAAAATCGAAAAAAAAGATGGCAAAAATAATCAAGTGATGAATTGAAACTGATGTTTTACCGAAAATTATTCAACCTCATCGACATTTTCTATTGACTACAGGAGGGCTTAAAAATTGTTTTTCAATCTACACCGCCCTACTGTCCATGCATGACAGTCATTCGGG